AAGTAAGACCACTCTCTTTTTTGCATATTCCGTGCGCAAGGGACACTATCTGGTTGTTCCCATCCATAGCGACTGCATGCAATATGGTTCCCTTAAAATCACCCTTCAAATGGGCACCATCCATAATTAAAACTTTACGACAAAAACGTTTGAACGCTCGTATCTGCAATATATTAAAATGGAACACATAAACACTCTAAATTTTTTTTTACAAATAATTATATATTAAATAATAAGTTTTTTGTATTTACCGTGCTCCCACTGGCATAAAAACAACACTCGAAACAATCTTCTGAATCTGTTTGTATATAGGCAACTGTACCAGGATTATGCCTCTTCAAATTGTGAAAATAAATAGGAAGTTTGGAAAAACATTTTTAGAGGATCCCAACAACAGTTTCATAGCATATTGTTTTGCATGCCAAGCTTGTTTGTAATTTACATTGATTTCCAGCAAAGCATTCAAATCCCTTGATATTTCATTAGGCCTCCAAACCTTGGAACAAGTTTTTCCCATAATCTCAAATACCCATGACTTTTTTATTTGCGTGCTTATGATTTGGGTGTATCTGTAATGATGAACATGTGTGCACATTGTTGAAAGTCCTGATTTCAAATTCATTAGTGGGATCAATGTGTTTTGCATATAAACGCCAAGTACAGTTCTCAATTTCACAATATACCTCATAACGGTTTTTGTTAGAATGTTTTGTCTTAAACTGAAACTTTTCTCTGGTTGCTTTAAGACTCAAAGCAAATATTAGTTGTTGTTTGTTATCATACGTTTGACGAACAAACATATCATCATTTGGACTTAAACTGTGAAATGGTCTAGGTTCAACAATAGGATCGGGACAATCAGGTATGGGAGGCATACCGTAAAATATGTCTGAAGCTTTTTTCTGTGTGTGAACTCATCTTCTGACCAGCCTTGATTTGACTCTTCATCGTCTGACAAAGTTTTGTCACGCAATCTTCCAAACTCATATAAATCTTCTTATTCCACTGTATTCACCGTCACAGTTTCTTCTTGTGGACACTCTTCAATATTATCAGATACAATGTTTTCAACATTGTATGGTACAATCTTGTCAACAGCTTCTGTCTGTTCGACCCTTCCCTCAAACACCTCCAAATATAAATGCATAATCTCCTTCGTTTCAGAAATTACATTTCTAAGTTGATGAACATCTGCTTCGTCTACAATATTCATAACATACCCATGAACCGGGTGTTGAAATGACAATGATATATTACTATTGAACGCATTAGCTTTACTTTTGACCAAATCAAACAATATTCGACGGTCAAAATTTGGCGGAAGCAGTAAACCTAAGTTGGACAACTTTGGTCTAATGTAGGTGTTAATCTCATTACTGATCTGCCAAAAACCCCCCGTACATAAAATAACAAAACTCATATTTTCTTTGAAAAAAAATTTCTAGCACTAAAACCGATCTAATATTGCAAATGGATCTAAAAAAATGAAAAAAAATCTTTTATATCACAAAAAACCGTCGCTAAAAGCCTTGAAACCACCCATTTCGCGGAGACTTTAAGGCCTCCGCGGAGCACCGCGTCATCTCCTCTGCGGAGGCTTTAATCAACATCCAAACCAATCCCTCCGCGGAGGACTTAATGTCTCAGCGGAGATATCTATGCGGACCAATATTACATTCATAAAAAAGTACATAATTTAACCTCTCCACGGAGGATTCATGGTTCCGCGGAGGTCCGCAGAGGGTCCTCCGCGGAACGCATTTCTATATCCAGAATTTTCATTTTTCATGTCTAAATTTTGAAATTACCCCCTGTTTTTTTACTATAGCCGATATTTTCCCTTTATTACTACTCATTGTTTTAGATGGAAGATTTGTAAATTAAAACACTAGAAATAAGCCGAAATCAAAAGACAAAGAAAAGTATACACGAATGCATTTTGATGAAATGATAACAACCAAAGTCAACCATTTAAATTACTTGATATCAATGTATATACATGTATTTTGCATTTACCAAAAAAAAACTCACGTCTTAAATCTAAAAAACATAGAAAACCATTACATATTATGAAAATAATAACATGTCAAGTTCCAAAAGACATTCATAAATATACTTGTTCTTCTTGCACCTACTCGTTTTTCTTGCACCTTCACTACTTCATCTTGCTCAATTTTATATAAAAAAAAGTCAAATAATGTTAGTATTAAAAGGAAAAGATATTCAATTTACAATCATTAAAATAATCAACGATATACAATTACCTTTGTTAATTTGTTGATTTTCTTCCCAATCTGTTTCATAAACGATTGTGTCACTTATGCTACCTCGAATCCAATCTTGTGTACAAATTAAACTTTCAACAATCTTAGGAGTCAAAGAACTCCTAAACGGATCCAAAACCCTCCCACTAGTGCTAAAAACAGATTCCGAAGCCACGGTTGAGACGGGAATAGCGAACACATCTCTTGGCGTCAATGATAGAATTGGGAATCTTGGACTATTCACTTTCCACCAATCTAGAATACTAAACATTTCTGAGTCGTCTTCAACACTTTCTTGCAAATACTTTTCTAACTCCTCAATTGATTCAACTATGTTCCTATTCATCTTTTCTCTTGGTTTATTTCTCCATGAGGGATTAGGTGCCATAAAATCCGGGTTTTGGCGTTTCCCTAGTATCGAAGATGAAGTGGTAGACTCGGAAATACTTGAAGTAGAACTTGGAGAATGAATTCTAATATAATCATTATATAATTCATACATAGAATCAATGATATTTTTCTTTTTGGCCTCCACCCCCTTTTCTCCATAACGATCCTCAAGTAGTTAACCAAATACTTTACTTTGTTCCTCAGATCAAGAATCAAAGCAAAGTAGAGCAATAAATTCATTTTTCTATGTCGCGAAAATACTTATCAAACTTTATTTTCATGGCCAATGCAATATCATAAAGACTAGAATCGGAAATAGCATCATCCAAGAGCATACGAATGGAATATATATCTTCAATGCACGTGTTTGAAGTCACATAAAGTGTCCCAGAAATCCTCAAAGTAACAGCATGAAAATGTTTTAAAAAATGACATACATTCCTAACCCTTTCCCAATCGCTTGATGAAGGTATCAACAAACCTGCCTTTTCAGTTTCGTACTGAAAATCAAATTCCTCAAAGATCATATCTCTCAAAAGTTTTTTCGTAAGCTTGGGTAATTTCCAACATATGGTAAGAAGATTTCCATCTTGTTGGCGCATCTCTCTTCAAGTGTTTTGTTATACCGGGATTAGCAACCTTAGCAAACTTGGTAAACTTATGAATTCTAGAAGGCGGTTGCCTAATCCATTTAACCGCCCATCGAACTATCTCAACCGCCTTATCAACTTTTTTATGCCATCTTGCGCCACTAAATTTAAAATGTGGGCAACACATCGAATGTGCATCCATTTCCCATTTAGAAGACACTTGTTAGAGTTCTGAAAACTTCTTTTTTCAAGAAGTCAATTGCCAAATCATTCGCACTTGCAATGTCAACAGAAATTGTGAAAACATTTTCTATTTCCCACTTCATTAAACATTTCTCAACCATTTTTCCAATATCAACCCCACGGTGACTCTCTTGAGAAGAAAAACACAACACTTTTTTTTCAATTTCCATTCGTTATCAATAAAGTGGGCGGTGAGACACATATAACATGATTGTTGTTTAGAAGTCCACGTATTTGTGGTCAAACATATTCTACCAACGTTTTTTTTAATAAAGTTATGAATTTTTTCTTTTTCATCTATAAAAAATTGGTAGACATCCGTTGTGCTTGTACTTCTACATGGAACTTTAAACAATGGTTGAGTAACACTATTGTAATACCTAAAGCCTGCACCTTCTACAAAGCTAAATGGAAGTTCGTCAACTACTAACATGTGGGATAGAGCCTTACGACTGTCATTTTGATCAAATTTCTAAATTGACAATTTGTTTTCATCACTATATTGGAAAGCTAGTTGTGTTTGCCCACCACTAAGTTTAGCCAAGTAAGCTTTATATTTAGATAAATGATAACCTAGATTTTTGGTCCCATAACCACCTGATTGACACTTGTATTTCCCACCACCACAATGCTTACATTTGCATCTTTGCACATCATTTTCGTCCTTATACCTTTCAAATTCTTTCCAAACTTTTGATCTTTGGTTGAATTCTTTAGGCTTTTTCACATTTCTTGTGGAACTTGATCATTGGTTGGGTTTTCAACTTCAATCTTCTCATCTTCCACTTCAATATATTCATCTGTTTTTGACATCTAAAACAGAAAAAAATGTTAAAAAACATAAAAATCAAGAAAAAAAGAAAAAGGAAAAAAAAATATGATCAGCAGTGTGTTTATCATAAAACATATGTGCAAAATACAAAGTTTTTAAACTACACATTATAAACAATAGTTTATTGTCTAAATCGGTATAAGATCATAATAAAAAGTTACACAATTTGACTAAGATCATTTAACCTATTATCTATCCAACTTACCAGTTTAAGATAATAAAAACTTCAATAGAAAACAAAATTATTACATGTCTAAAGATGAATAAATTTGAAAAGAGTAAGCAATAAGTGGTCATTATTCACTATTATTACATTACCCAAAAAAAAAAGAAACAAAGTATAAAGCAAAACATGTAAAAGGAAACAAAAAAAATCTTACAAAGTATCCACCTACTTTAGTCACAAAACATGTGGAAAATATAAAGTTTTTAAACTACACATTATAAACAATAGTTTATTGTCTAAATCGATATAATGATAAATGTATGTGGTCATTTTATTTATTGTGCCAAATCCAGATAAACAAATCAATTGTCATTTTCACAACTACTCTATGGCTACAAAGACTTAACAAATCAATTGTCATTTTCACAACTACTCTATGGCTACAAAGACTTGTTAACGTATATTCAGAATATATCTACTTTCCTTGTATATGTATTGTAATTAGCCTTTTCCTAAGTCAACTTCACTATTTAGTCTATATACTTTAGTTTAGATCTCATTGTAACAAACCTACAAATATACAATTCGATCTTTTATATCAAAAGCTTTCATGGTATCAGAGCCCATGGCTCTCTTGGAAAACTAACCTCGCCGGAACCCTAGTATTTCTTGTACTGACTTCGTCGGAGACACTCAGACCACCAGACCACCTGAATCTGCCCTGCTGTCGCTGCTCCCTTCACCAGACACCCCATTGTCTTAATCGTTGCTTAAATCTTCCTTCCCATCAAACTCAAGTCCCATTATCGCTGGTACTTTCCTCTGAATCACCACCAGTCACCACCGCATCAAAAAGAAAAAAGGCCGCCCCTCTTCTCAACAGGAAAATAAATCTCTCGTTTGAAGCTTTATCTATCCTTGTTTCAAGGTTTCTTTTATTTGAGACTTTGTTTGGATACTACACTATTCCTTGGAGTTCTCGTTTACCCATAAGACCTTAACCAGGTTCCATTTTTTGGCATTAAATACTTATTAATACCCTTTGGTATTACCAGTCATATTTCCCCTGTGGTATAATTTTCTTACTTTCTCCATGTCAACCACTGGAATCACATCACGACCCATTATTACCGTTTTCAGTGGTACAAATTATGTTTCTTGGTCTCGTCAAATGACAAGCTACTTTCAATCCAAAAAATTATGGCGTGTTGTAACTGGATCATTATCTCGTCCAGTAATCAAAGAAAAAGAAGACAAATATGCATTTGATCTACGTGAAGAAGATTGGTTGTGCAAGAACTGTGAAATCATTACAGTCATATGTAACTCGTGCACCATTGAAATCACTCAACAGTTTGGATTGTATACCATAGGAAAAGAGATCTGGGATTTTTTGGCCAAACGATATACCACCACAGATCTTGCACATCAATATCAGTTGCTTCGAACTGTCCTTAGCAAACGCCAACAACCTAATCAGTCGATAAGTGCATTTGTATCTGAGATGCAAAGTTATTGGGATCAACTCACATTGGCTGCACCTACCACTAAATGTCACGAAGATGCAATCATAGCCGTGAATCACCAAAAGCATCTTCAACTTATGATTTTGCTAATGGAACTTCAAGATCGTTTTGAACTTGTAAGAGCATCTCTCTTGCACCGTTCTCCTCTCCCTACCTTGGAAGCAGGAATAACTGAACTGATTTCAGAAGAAACAAGAATTGGGGCACCGACTTCTCCATCTGACGAGGTTATGGTTGTCTCTGGTTATAAAGGCAACAAGAAGTCTTCTGTTTTCACACCGCGCAACAACAATACAAATAGGAACTCTAGTGAATGCAATTATTGTCACCTCAAAGGCCACCAGTTTCTCGATTTCCCTCACAGAATTTGCAAATTTTGTGAAAAGAAGAACTCGAAACACTATGGTTCAGACTGCATGCAAAACCCGAATCGCAACAAAAGCTTTTCAGGCTCTACTTCACATTCAGACTCCTCTCCAAATCCATCGATGGTGGTACCAGGGGCTACTTCAGTTACTCCAGATGATGTTATTTCCCTCATGAAGCAAGTTATGTGTGGTTCATCGCATTCCATGGCTACATCCCAAGGTAAATCATGGTTATTCGACTCTGGATGTTGTAATCACATGACACCAGACACCGACATATTTGCTACAAAATCATCGAGTAAACCCTTATCTCATGTTACAACAGCTAATGGTACACAAGTACCTGTTCAACATAATGGTTCTGTTTGTACTTCCCATCTATTCTTACCAGACACCCTATGCATTCCTAAGCTTTCTATTAGCCTTATTTCTATTGCTCAGTTATGTGACATGGGCCTTAATGTCAATTTTACTCCATCTGATTGTTGTGTGCAGGATCCAAGGACGAAGCAGATCTTTGGGATCGGCCGTAGGACGGGACGGGTGTACGAGCTTGTCTACCTTCGCATACCCAAATCTTTTACCCCCACTTCTCTCTCAACCTTACCTTCAACGAATTTGCTTGATATTTGTCATTCTAGATTAGGTCATATTTCTTATGATAGACTCATATTACTTATTTCTTCTGGTATTTTTCAAAACCAAAACTTTACATTGTTTACCTTGCCAACTAGGCAAACACCATGTTTTACCTTTTTATCCAAATGAAATGAAATCAGTTCCACCTTTTGACTTAACTCATTCTGACATATGGGGTCCCGCACCTATCCCAACTATGGGGGGAGCATGTTGCTTTGTGACATTCATCGATGATCACATTCAATTTACATGGATATACCTAATGAAACAAAGATCAGAGTTGCCCTAAATTTACATCACTTTTGCTCGTATGATTCAAACTCAGTTCACCAAACCAATCAAAATTCTCAGAACAGACAATGCCATGGAATACAAAGAATCATCCTTGCTAAATTTTCTTCACCAACAAGGCACTGTCTCACAATATTCTTGTCCTAGCACGTCTTAACAAAATGGACGTGCTGAGAGAAAACATCGGCATATTCTAGATACCATTCGCACCCTTCTCATATCCTCTCAATGCCCTGAACGCTTTTGGGTTGAAGCTGAACTCTCTGCAGTGTATACCATTAACCGCCACCCCACCCCAATTCTAGAGAACAACTCACCATACTTCATACTTCATGGTACACTTCATGCCTATGACCTCCTTAAGGTGTGGGGGTGTGCCTGTTTCGTTCTCCTTCAACCTCATGAACATACCAAACTTCAAACTTGCTCACGACTCTGTTGTTTCTTAGGTTATAGCCTTGAACATAAAGGTTATCGGTGTTGGGATCCTATATCCAATAGACTTCGAATCTCTCGCCATGTTGTGTTTTTGGAACACACTATGTTCTCTACCCTTTCCAAATTTCGACAACCTACATATCCGACTCATCCCCTCTTCATTGATGCATCCATTCCCCTCACCCACGAGTCAGTAATTTCAAATCCTTCCCCTACTCACCCTTACTCTCCTACCTCATTTGGTCCTGATCACCTTGAACAAACCGATATACATGAACCTATTTTGAGCTCTCCTTCATACGACACACCCACTCCCCCTACATCACCTACAGCTGTTCCGCTCTCTACGGATGTTCCTGATACATCTGATTCCTCCAAAGATCCTGCTCTCAATGTGTCACCAGAAGTTACTGAACATCGCCGCTCCACACAAGTAAGGAATGTTCCTTCTCACCTTCGTGATTATCAATGTTATAATATATTGTTCTCCACTCATACATCGTCCTCTTACAAAGAGACTTCCACAAATCCTCTTTGGCAACAAGTTATGAATGAGGAAATGCAGGCTTTAGATCGGGCCCAAACATGGGACATTGTTCCTCTTCCTCCCAACAAAGCTATAATTGGTTCCAAATGGGTATTCAAAGTCAAGACTAAATCTGATGGGTCTTTGGATAGATACAAAGTTAGACTCGTTGCTAAAGGTTTTAATCAGGAATATGACATTGATTATGAAGAGACTTTTGCACCCATTGCTCGCATTACCTCTATTCGAACTCTTCTTGCTATTGCTATTTTCCGGAAATGGAAACTCTTTCAGATGGATGTTAAGAATGCATTTCTTAATGGAAATTTATCTAAAGAAGTTTATATGAAACCCCCTCCTGGGGTACCACATCCTCCACATCATGTTTGCAAACTACGTAAGGCTCTCTATGGTCTAAAACAAGCACCTAGAGCATGGTTTGAAAAATTCAGTGTTATTGTTTGCTCGTTGGAAATATGTCTAGTCCCTATGATTCAGGTCTTTTCACCGAGACCACCGATACATGTATCATCATCTTGCTTTTATATGTTGATGATATGATCATTACTGGGAGTGACTTACAGGTTATCATTCAACTCAAGGAATCTCTTCAGCAACACTTTGAAATGAAAGACTTGGGCATACTTCATTACTTTCTAGGGCTCGAAGTTCTTTCTCAGGACCAAGGAATCTATTTGAGTCAAGCCAAATATGCATCTGACCTACTTTCTCGAGCTGGCCTTACCGATAGCAAGACTGCCTCAACACCTCTTGAACCAAACCTCTATCTAACTCCAAACGATGGTGCACCTCTACCTGACCCTACCTTATATTGCCAGTTAGTGGGATCCTTGGTCTACCTGACTGTCACTCGTCCGAACATTACTTATGCAGTTCATGTTGTTAGTCAATTCATGTCATCTCCGCGCATCACTCACTATGCTGCCGTTCTAAGAATTCTTCGATACATAAAAGGGTCAATGTTTCGTGGCTTACATTTTTCATCAACATCATCCTTAGAGATTCGTGGGTACTTGGATGTAGATTGGGATGGAGATGTTACTGATCATCGCTCTACAACGGGTTATTGTTTCTTCCTTGGTTCCTCCCTTATCTCCTGGCGCAGTAAGAAACAATCTCTGACATCTCGCTCCTCTACTGAATCTGAATATCGTGCTCTTGCTGACACCACCCAATCATCCCCTACAGTTCTTTGGTGCGACAACCACAGTGCCATTCAAATAACTCATAATGATGTCTTTCATGAACGTACCAAACACATAGAGATTGATTGTCATTTTGTTCGCCAACACTGTAACGACCGGATTTCCAGGGACATGATTGTGTATGTTAATCTTGAGATTTGAGGAGGGACTCGACGAGTTGAGGGACCAACTCGCCGAGTCGAGTCGAGATTGTCGCGTGGATTTAATGAGCCGACTCGACGAGTCCAAGGATGGACTCGCCGAGTAGGTGTTGGGCAGAGAAAACCCTAAGTTCCGGGGTTGGAGCCTATTTAAAGGAACTTATGACCTTGGGTGGACCTCATATCTCCTGTGAGAAACCCTAAATCGCCATTGGAGCCAAGGAAGAGTTCTTGTGATGAAATCAAGTAATTTTGGTGTGGTTTTCAAATGAAGTGAAGGGATTCAGCTTGAAGGACCAAAGGAGGTTGTTATTCTGAGACATCTAAGCAAGGATCTCCATTTTGAGGTAGTATTTCGCCCCTTTCCTTCTATTTTTGTGTAAATCCTTGAATCTAGGGGTTTCTTTACCCTTCCTTGGATAGTTTATGATGCATATGAGGTCCCATTGTGGAGAAAGTCTTAGATCCGGACCTTAAGAGGTCCAGAGAGTCCCAATCATTCGGCTTTATACTGTTTCCTTTGAGATATGAGCCTAGGTTGCCATTTTAGAAGCTATTTCACCGAAAGAAGCCTTATGTGTGCTGCATTAGTGTAAAGATTGGACCTTTATGTGATTATTGAGCATTGGGAAGTCAGATCTATAGGTTCGAGAAACAGATCTGACCTTAGAAGGTCTTTTGAGTGTTGCCATGGTGGAAACTCGTCGTGTCCATAAGGGGACTCGACGAGTCGAGTCGGGTTGCCCCGCGATTCGTGACCCGTGGTAACCCGTCGAGTGAAGGGTTAACTCGACGAGCCGTGAGAGGCCATAGGAGGATTCAAGGGACACGCTTGGACTCGCCGAGTCACCCATGTGCACTCGACAAGTCTGGTCAAAGTTTGACCGTTGACTAGAGTTGACTTCAGTTGACCTTGGGGTTTTGGTCAAGCTGATTCAAGAGAGGTCAGAGAAGGGTAGAATGGTATTCCACCCATTATTAGGGATGAGAACATGAGAGGATTTTTATTAGAGATGTTATCATTTTGATAGGAGGAGGCTAGGTCAGGTTATCGAGCACGAGAGGGTATCCGACATCATGCGAGGTGAGTCTTCTCACTATACTTTACCTTGAGTGGTAATAGAGTTATGTGACAGAGTATCTTATATGCTATGTATGTGATGTGTTGCACTGTATTATTTCTATGTGATTTATGATGTGTGTATTCCAGAGTTTACAGAGTTAGGACCGGAAGGTCCACAGAGTTAGGACCAGAGGGTCCACAGAGTTAGGGCCAGGGGGCCCACAGAGTTATAGCCTCGAGTGGTTAATATGTGTTATATGTGGTATTCTGGGGAACTCACTAAGCTTTATGCTTACCGTGTTATGTGTTATGTGTTTCAGGATTTTCTCAGGATCGCGGGGCGGCACCGGCTTGATTGTACACACCAGAGAAAGAGTTATATTTTGAGGATCCTGTATTATTAAGGGAGTTGTGCTTGTAATTTGAATAAACAAGATTTCTTTACAATATGTTATGAAAAGTATGCGATTTTAAAATGAAAAATCTGTTTGAAAAATTACGGTGTTATAAGTTGGTATCAGAACCTTGGTTTGAGGGATTCGGATGCGCCTTTGGGGCAAATCTGGACTCAAACTGAGGATTTGAGAAAAAAATTCAAAGAAATGATTTTTCTAAAGCGAGCAAGAGTTTCTAGAAGAATACGAGTTGGAACAGTGTGTACAATCAGCCAGAGCCCGAACGGTGATTTCCCAAAATACCCTTACGTTGTATTATGAGATATTTATGAGATATGCTATGAGATATTATGCATTCTAGAGATAGGCTAGGTATTTCATATGTTAGGTCTAGAGTGGCCTGATTTGTGATGCCTTAGCCTAGGAGTTACTGTTATCTGTGATGTGTTGAGTAAGAGTATTCAGCGGAAATCCCCTAGAGAGGGATTTGAGTAGAGGAGTAATCTAGGAGAGATACCTAGATAAGCATTTCAGGAGTCTACTGAGGGAGTAGTCAGATGCCCGCGTGGGGTATAGTTGCTTGAGTTCGGTGGTATCCTTTGAGTATGAGGAGAGCAAGTGGGTAATGACCTAGAGTGGTTTTGCATGTTGGTAAAGATTATTCGATGCCCGAATGCTGCTTGCTTCGTGCTTTTTGGAACTCTTGATGATGAGAGTCAGCTACTAAGTGAATATGATGATATTCAGGAGGTAGATGGCTGGCATCATAAGGAGTTCTTCAGCAGCTGATGGCGGAGAAGTATGAGAACCTAGGAAGAGCCTAGGAAAGGGTGACCCTAGTCAGATGAGTACGCTGACAGAGTAGGATATTTCGCAGAGGAGCGAACACGCATGACGGGGTTGGTGATTGAGAAGGTCAAGAAGCTACTTAGGAACTCGGGAATGGTCCGTGTGGAAAGTATGGGTAGATGTGGCAGGTAGTATG